TATTTTAAGTAGTGACAGTATTTTCACCGTATTAAAATAGTAGTGAAGCAAATGTTCAGCTCACATTAAACAGCACTCTGTCACAAGGACCAGCTTGCTAGCATCATATATTCCCCCAAGAAAGATAATGCTGCTTGCTTTAACAGAATCATTGTCACCAAGCAACAACAAGTGCTGCTCAGTAATAAATATTTTCACTGTTCCCACAGAAACCAGCTCAGCATCTCAACCTGCTTGTGCCTAGAGAGATCAGTTTGACCTTCCAGAGCCATTTCCTTGCAAAGACACAGCCATCCCTCACCATGAGCATCTCCAAGAAATACTGGGACAGTGCTGCACGAACACCGAGGGTCACAAAAGTACAGCAGACAAAGCCCTCTTCCTTTCAGCTACAACGGCTTGAGAAGATGCAAAGTAAAAAATGAATTTTTGAAAACAAATTATTTCAGTCCCACGTGAAACAATTCTCCTGTGGAGAGACAAGATGGCATCTATCCTAGATGCAGGAAGGTCACTTCAAAGCTATGCTACAACTCTGCATAAAGAAGGTCTCAGAGGCAACTTCTTTTTTGGAAATTCAGAGTTGGACCAGCAGCAACTGTAGGCAAGCCAGTTAGGTGCTGTCAAGTGTTAGTAGTAGGCCTGAGGTTTCCTAACAATACAGACTCTGAGAATTATCACACTTTGTCCAAATTGAAAATACTTCAGCTTGAATTTCACTCCATCTCCACAATCACCTAAAAAACCTCAGCTACACCTGCATCTTATTCCACAATCAGGAGACCGCTGCAGTGGTTATTCAGGCTGTAACAGCAGAACCACACCAGTGTCAGAGATGTATTGATTGTTCTGCAAAAACATACTTGCTTTTGGTTAGATTATCACCCAACTTTTCTCATTTCAGTCTCGTCTAGCTTTGGACAAGTGTATGGTTCTATTCCTTCCCCCAAATCTAAGTTTTATGTGGAGAAAGAGATTAATAACTAATTCTCTTTGAAGAGAAAAGCACGTAACTTGTTAACAAAGTGTTAAAAAAGCTGAAATCCCCACCACTGACACTGGGTTTTGCCTATGCAGGAAACTGGAGGCTGATGGCTCTCTCATAAAGCACTGGCAGGGAAAGAGCTTAGCAGCAGAGGAAGTGGGAAGATAGTTGTGCCCATTGATTTTACTGCATTTGTAAGGACCCTCAAGAGAAACCAAGTAATTTGAGTTATTTCTTCAATTGGAGTAATAAGTGATAGTTCTATTTCAGATTAGACAGCTAAAGCATTAGAGTGATCCCAAAAGCCATCCTTTGATCCTTACATACAGCATCTTGCACCTGTTCATCAAGAAACCACACACAATATAATCCCTAAAACTAACCAAAAAATAAAACAATCCAATAAGAAAAGACCTCTGGACACAACAGGCCTTCAGTACTCTTTTAAATCCTAAACTAAGGTACTTGCTGGAAAACAAAACATTTCACCTCAAAGCTGTATCACTATAGTAACTTTTTTTTGTCCAGCAGCCCGGAAATTCTAAATCCCAGCTCTCGGTCACACGAGCATGAAAGCAATGTGACAGAGCAGGTGTATGTCTCCCAAAGCTCTCAAGCTGAGCTGTTGCATGTCACGTCTATCTCATTTCAGGTGAACTTTGACAACTCACATTTGTGGGTTAAGGAGAAACCTGCCCTGTTTGGGGTCAAAGGGAGGAAGGCTAAAGGAGATGAGAACAGCTGCTCATTCCAGAAAATGCCTGTGGGAAATCTACACATGGCAAGCAAAGAGGATGAGCGTGTTCAGGTGCACATGAGGGGGATGCAAGCCAAGCAGAACTTTTGTGAGAGCCCACGTTTTTGGATGCTTTAGAAGCAGCCTTCAATTGGGCAGAAGGGAATTAGGGATTGCAAAAGTTCAGCATGCTGCAGAGCCTTTTCTACTTGTTGGTTGTTTGTTTTTTTGTTGTTGTTGCTTCTGGTGCCAGTGGGCTTATTTTTATTTTTATTCCTGGCTTTGTTATTTTTAATCTTAGCTAACTGTCTAGTTCTTTTCAATAACAGGTTTAGTTTTATCCAACAGATGAGTTGACAGGCTTTGTTGGAGCTTAAAAGGTGGATTCCTGGGCCCTCTGCACTGACCCATCTACAAAAAGCTATTTTCAGTCAAAATGTGCAGCAACAGTAAAGGAAGCTACCGATCTTAAGAACGCATGGACTCAGCTGTTTATGAACTATGATTCAGAGTAAATCTGGGCACATCACAGCACCCACGCTTTTCAGATTAACACCATGACCGAGAAACTACAAAAATTCAAGGCTTGTTCCTCTTTTATTACCTCTGCAGAACAAGAGTGAAGCAGGGCAGTATGCTGAAAAACTGCTTATCATCCTGATGGCTTAAGTCAAATAGTCATCAATTCCATACTTTTCACTGTAACCCAAGTCACAGTAAAAAACTGTTGGCTAAAAAAGACACACCAACTCCCAAACAAAACAAAGCCCTAAATCAACAAATGTATGGGATCACCAGACTAAGAGATTGAGCGCATAACTACCTTTACAGATGAACAGGCTGCACTGGGAAACTCAAACAGCCCAAGAGATGTAGCAAGCCACGAACTACAAAAGCAGTTTGTATCTACTCTGGTAATCACTTCAGGAAAAGAACAGTTACAGTTCCTGTTAGAATCCTGTTAAACAAAATACAAAATCTTTTTATGTATAATAAGAGTGGATCATTAGAAGGGAAAAATTAAGCAATTAAAATTAATTAAAATTAAGCAATTTTTATATGCAAGGTAAGTTGTGGCATGTGTTTAAACCCATGCATGCTGCCTTAAGGCTATAGCAGGAGAAACTGCACTGATACTGCCTTGCCATCCACTTCAGGCAGCATTTTGTGAGCATGTACAGGACAAGAGGCAGCAAGCAAGAGTACCTTAAAACCATCATACACTTTGTGTCTAATTTCAAAGCCTTGGAAGTGCTGCCAGCCTATGTTTTCCAACCTCTAGTACCACTCTCACTGTAACACGCACGTTCCTCATCCCTCACAGGAGACTGAATGTTCAGTCTGTTCAGTGAAGCAGATACCAAACATAATCTTACTACATGACACAACTACACTGCAGTTTTCTCCCTTTGTTTAGCATCAGAAGTGTACCATACCTGAATAATCAGATATTCTACTCACTTCCTCCAAGAAAAGCAGCACAAAAAAGTTTAGGGATGGTAACCACATCTTGGTCAATAAAAGAAGGAGAGACAGATTCGATTCCGAGAGCAAAGGTCTTCACTCTCGACTGCTCAAAAATTGCTGGAAGCCTCTGCTACACTCTTACTAGTGATTTACAGGGATGAGATAACATAAGGGTCAGATTTACCACCACTGACTAACACACATAGCAGCCACCCCAGGCACCTACTTTGTAAAAAAGCATAAAGGGTACCGCTGCCGACATTTTTTCAGGCATCTGGTTTCTACATCTGTAATGTTTGCTTGCCTTTAGCACCATGTGACTCTTAAGATACTTGTGACATTTTCATACATTTTTATTTACAGAGACTATCATGCAGGATTTTCCAGCTGCAGTGGCACCGTGAATTAAAAACAGGACTGCCAGAGGCATATTCAAATTGTCAACTGTTCAACTGTTAATATTGTTTCATTATAAAGATTCACAAAACATTCACCAGTTAACTTTCCAAGAGAAGAATGAAGAGCACCTTTTCCTAATAGCTCTTTCCATTCCACCCCAATTGGTTTGCTCAGTTTAATTATTCATTCTAATTTTCATGTTAGTGAGGAGCTTTGCTTAAGGAACGATAGTAGGGACAACCTTTGTGCACAAAAGTGTTATAAGTGATATAAGCAGACAGGCCATGCTCCAGAAATAGACACATTCATACATGCAATTTTTTTCTTTTTTTTTTTTCCCTCTGCTGTAAAATTTCACTTGAGTCTTAGCACACACGCACTGGATGCTAAGCACAAAAAGACTGGAGTATTTTCAAAGCAGAGGTGCACAAGATCCACGAAGGGAGTCGTCTCGTTTACAAACAGGCTCCCACAGACCTGCAATTAAAACAGGATTCTCAAAGCTCATGTTTCATTGGGGCATCAGGGAGCAGCCAAATCTTTCAGAGCTCAGCCCTCATAATTTAGCAACCATTACTGAGAACAGGAGCTCCCGAACCCTTCTGGCTCTTCAGAAATCTAGCAATTTACTTGAAGTCTTATCCCTAAGAATTAAATGTGTCAGATTTCAATTTTCATGGCTAATAAAAAGACCAAATTTTTCCACTTAAGAAAACATAATGGACACTGTAGGCAATAGTGTGCTGCACACAGACTCTGAAGCTAATACATCCCCACAGCACAGCAGTGATGTCTGATAACATTAGCTCATCTCTCACATACTGCCTACTTGCATCAGCATGGTGCTACAGCTGATGACCTCTTGTTGCCAGGTGGGTTACGCAGTGTGCCAAGCTAAAGACAAATATACTGGTTTAGGTTCTTCCAGACTCAGGGTCACATTGGGTATAGGAGTACATGAAAATGTGCACTGTGGTGCTTGAAATCATGATATATCATGACAGTGAGTAAGATCCTATGTTCTATGGAGCTGTGGCTGACGGGGGATACATAAAATTCTACTGAATAGCATTCACAAAAGAAGTCATCTTCACACAGAGGCCAGGAGCGACAACTCCAGTGATATACAGCCAACAGCATAGCCAACAGAGTAGGCTCGGGCATTAGGATGAAAGTCAGCCTTAACACAGTAACTAAACTTTGTAAGAGAAATAGTTATGTGACCAAAGTTCTTTGTTTTGTGACTTAATTAGTCACACAGTAACACAAGAACTCAAAGACCTGGGTGGGAAGTGGGGAAAGAAATCAAGACCCTGGAAAAAAACCACAAGCATTAGGCAGAAGAGACAACGTCTTGGCAATTTTCCATTCTCCTTCCCTTCCCACAGTCACATTCCCCCATCCCTCACTCACCATGGGCTAACGGTGTTAAGAGCATTGTGAAGAACAGTAGCTGTGATGACCACATGACTGTGAAGGAGGGCTTGAAAGTATCCCAGCAAACAAAGGTTCAAACAAAACAAGGTGAGTGTCCTTCTGCACTGGTTTTCAACACTTCAGCTGTTGGCCTTCAACTCACATCCAAGAAGGGAGAAAAAGCCAATCAAAAATAATAAAAATAATAATAAAAAAATCCCACAGCCAGTATCCAGAATCTGTGACCTAGAAACAAGAATGGAAAAAAAAAAAATGCAGTTAGTAAAACACTAAGATAGGTGTTCTCAATCAAGTCTTGCTGCATTTCTCTGCTGCCAACAGCTGCAAAGGCAAACATATCTACCCCCCGCCCTTCAGATATTTTTTATGTACAACAGGAATTAAAACTTGTCTCCATGCAGAGTCAGTTTGTGCATCGCTAATGCTCCACTTCCTCTCTCAAAACAGGGATTAAGATAGAAGTCTTGAACACAATGCCCATGGGCCCAGGGAGTCCACAGACTTGAAAGGTGACTGGAAAAAGCAAGTCCATATGCTTTGCACTAAAATCTACATACACAGGAGTTCTAAAACAGCCTGTAACTCCCTTGGAAACCATTTGGGTATTTATACATCAGAAGATGACAGAAATTCCATTGCTGAAATGGATTTAACCAGTGACTAGGTTCTATGCTGATCTCTTGCACAGAAATAAATTTCTATTCCAGATACCTCTTTTCCAACCTCAAACCCTCAGGCTCAGAGCCTGTTAGTAGAAGTTAGCTCCTGAAAGAGCATATTGGCCAGCGTGATGACAAATCAACAAACTGCAGGTGTAAGTTCACTGGTCTACGCCATATGTGCAAGAAAGCATGGAAAGTGCAGTGCTTCCACTCATGCAACCACAGAATCACCTACGTTGAAATGGACCATCAAGGTCATTCAATTCCAACCACCAAGATGACTACCAAGTCCCATCACTAAACCATGTCCCCAGATGTCACGTCCATGCGTATCTTAAATACCTCCAGGGATGGTGAATCTAACACTTCCCCAGGCAGTGCATTTCAGTACTTGATAACGCTCTTAGCATCAAATCCGGACCAGGCTTCGAACCCAAGCAGAGACTAAAGTCCCCCTTACCATGTAGCTCCCACCTGTGGTGACTGCCTGAGACTCAGTCACTTATGTCTACTCAAGCTCTGCAGCTATACATCGTGGAATTTAAAAAATGGCCTATCCATCCCACGCTCTTACAGGGAAACACAGGGAAATTGAAGCCCATGCTCAAATAGAAACATTCACTCATATAATTGCAGAAATGATTCCATCTTTCCGTCATTTTAATCTCTTATGAAGGGGCTAGCTGGCCACAGTGACTCAAGCTTGGCAGGAATAAAACAACAACTATACAGAGTTAAGCCATAGCATCATTTTGAGGCTTAGCTCCCTGCTGACTTTGAAATGATGATAAAATATGAGGAACTGTAAAGTACTTTACATATCTGTTTTGAACTCCCTTGGCTCTGCAGCCTTCACAGCATTGGTCTAATTAAAAATCTCTCCAAAAAATCTCTGATCAACAGAAGTTATTCTTCTCTGAGCAAGGAAGCTGTTTTTGCCAACTTGTGTTCCTATCCCAAAACCCAGTTTCAGCCAAAAAAACATATGAAAAACTGCACTGCATGCCATTGTGATGTGGATATATTTCTGAAATTCAGGCATGACAAAGCGGCCTTTGTTTGGCCTCGTCTCTTTGCTGATCAACTAAATCAAACCTCACATTGTTCAGAACCGAAGCCTATAAGGAAGCTGCATTTTTTTCTGATAAGTATAGCTGCTTGCTCTGCCAAGATTTTGTTCTCTCGCTCTTCTCTCTCACCAGTCTACCCCTGCAATTTGTTCACTTAAATAAAGCATTTAGGGTCTGAAGATTTCTCGGCTCTAACTGTGGTGATTAAAAAGTCCAAGGGCAAGAGGAAGGCAAATGGCTTCTTCACATGCGAGCAAGAAATTAAATCATGGCTCAAGCTAGGATGCTAGCCACTAATAACATTTAAAGCCTGCTTTCGAAAAGGCTCACAAATATTTTAAATTATATTTTTGAAATACCAATCAAGTTTCCCATTTGAATTTTAGAAAGCTACCAGTACACATCAAACTACCCTGCTGGCCTTACGTGTGTCTTCTCTACAGCATCATAAAGAGTTTATAAAAGGAAGAAACTTTTTGTGCTACAAAAATTGAAAAGGTACACACAAAAACAGAGGAAGCAACCAGGTACACTGCCATGAAGGAAAAAGCTCAGTCAGGGAGTGAAGGGGTGGGGTTTGCTTTCTAATTTTTATTTGTTTAAGCCGATTAAAGTTCTGGAGAATCTAAACCTGTCACAAAGAAATAACATGACAGTGCACTAAAAACTTTTTGGGTATAAACTCCAGAAGTCGCAAATAATTTATAACACCTATCGCAGAGAAAGGATAATTGTCAATAAATATTTACACAGTAGCCTTTCAAATACTTTTTATCTGTCTGCCTGTACTCCCCTACACGATAGGATTATTTTTTTCCCTGTGGCCTCATGGGCTGAGACTTGAGAAGCAAAACAATTCCCGCATCAGTGGTGGGCACAACCTTGCCCTTAAGTCTGCTCCTGCAGAGACTTCTTCAAGCTCTTCAGATTCTTGCATGATGCGGAGCCTAATGAACCCTCAGCGTGCACAGAGAAGTGCTGAAGTTGTTTAATAACATAGAAAACACAAACCAAACGCGTAGCGCTACCCAGCTCTGGGTGGTTTCGTACTTCGTTTGTATGATCAAATAATCGTACTGTGTGAGCTGGATGCCTGCAGAACAGCGAGACAAGAAATGAGTGGAGCAATCCTTTCCTTAATGGTCACACAACCCTCTCAAGCAGCATTTATGAGATGCAGGAAGAGGCCCGCAAAACAAAATTCACTTCATCTTTGGATTACCTCCAGGTAAAAGTACAGCCAAAGAGAGAAACTAGAGCATATAGATGTTAACTTTTGAGTGCTGATACATTTATTGATGTAAAAAGGGGATATACTATCACAGCAAGAAAGCTAAGGGTTACACTTGGCCTAAGGGATTCGGATTTGAAAGATGAAGATGACATGGCATGCATTAATTTACAAGGAAGTTCCTCTACTCAGTGACCTTGCTGCCCATAGGGCTGCCCCTGATAGCTTCATGGCCTGGGCTCCTGCCAAGCATCACCCAAACCTGATCTGCATGCAGGCAGTTATTAAAATCCAACTTAAAGTGGTACTGACAAGATAGAAGAGAGCCAAAGGAAACTGCAGCCTTGCAGTGTAGATGTGCAATGAGGTATTTATGAAGGCATGCCTTCCTGAAAGGATATTATGTATACGCTAACTCAACATCTACTCAAAAGTCTCTGCTTTAACAGTTGATGTGAATCAGCACAGGGAGCATTTTCTGAGCCCATCTCCTGATGGCGTGCAGACAGGGTAAAAAAGATAAGGAAATCAGTTCATCTCCTGTGTGAACAAACAGCATGAAGCAGAATTTAGAGTGGCACAAGCCAAACCAGTCACAAGTCCACCTCATTTCTGCCTTTAACCAAACGTGATCATTTGCGCCCATACCAAGCAAGATGCTCCCCTTCTTACCGGGCAAAGCCTACCTGCCCTCCTCTGACACCTGGCATTTTCTAACCCACCATGGTGTGAATATTGGACAGGCACAAGTGTTTCCAATGACATTCAGTAGCAAAAGCCAGGCAGAAACACTCTGCTTTTCTTGCCTGGTTATGCTTCTCCACTATTTTCTCTCCTCCCCTGAAAATGCGTATAGTAAAACTAACTTGAAATTACAAGTCAGCAATACAAGGATTGCTTTATATTCCTTAATAGAAAAGATTCCTACGCTTATCTCCTTATTTAGCATAAGTTGCTTACTACGTAAAAAATAAGTATGATGTTTCAAACAAATATTGATTAAAACCACAAGAACAAAAGCTTGGAAGTAATAAACTCTTCAAAGCCAATGGGCCAAATTGGAACCAAAGACGCAATTCTCCCATTTCAGCATCTACTTCTTGCACAGCAATTTGTATGAGAAATCATTTTCAGAATGAAAATTTGCAATCTCTTCAAAAGTGAATGCATTAAATGGAATTTAAGGGTAAAAAAAAAAAGCAACAACAAACAAGTGAAAGAATGTCCTGCATTGCTGTTCCCATTATGAATGACTGAACTAAAGAATTGCTGCAACACATTTAGCCATGAGTTATCAGAAAGCACCTCTCAATTTTTTTTTTTATTATTATTATTTACTTTTTTTGCATCACTATAAAAAAGAAAAGTTTTGCCCTGCCCATCTCTTCCCATTTTCATCCCTTCTCTCAACTCAGCACAGGGCTCCATGGTCACTCTGCAGTGACAGCAACACAGTAATGGTCATACAAGCATTGGGGATGGTACAAAGCCTTGGAAGCAGGGCAGCAGAAGTCTGTGTTGTGGCATTTCAGTGGAACCACTCCTTCTCTAGATAGCCTGATCTAGTGGTTGGAGACCCTGCACATAGCTGGGCGGTTGAAACCAGATGATCATTGTGGTCCTTTTCAACCCAGGCCATTCTAAGATTCTTTGATTCCTAGCCACTCCAGATTGTCTGTAAACCTCCATGTGTTTGTATTTGGCCACAGAAGGAAAAAAAAAACAACAACAAAAAAAACCACAAAACAAAACAAACAAACAACAACAAAAAACAGGAGAAAGAAAACCTAAAGGCATTCTGCCCTTTACACCTCTGTTATACCTTACGTAGCACTTTGAGAACTTACTTTAAAAACCTTACAAGCAAGAATAACACCATGTACTAACAGCTCCCATTCATTCCAGATTCTCAAATATCCCTGCAGCACTACTCACACACCCCAAGAAGATCTGCTCCCAGCTCATACCCAGTCTTACTGACCACCTGTTGAGACTACAATTCAAAGTCACAAAGAACTCTTTAGAAGTACTATGGGATGCACTGCAGAATAACTCAAGCATTAAGTGAGTTAACAAATTTCAGATTAATCTTGCCTTTGGTAAGAGCACACCCAAATACAGACCAGCTAAATCTAGCAGTGGTGTGTCATTGCTTTATTCCCCTTACATGTGGATGAAATGGAGGCGTTTGTTCTCTTCCAAAGGTCAAAGGGGGATTTTCGGCTATCAGCTGCTTGTTAGTTTTCCCACTCAATTCAGCAC